TGGGGGCAGTTATAGGTGTCGTTTGTCAGCATGGCCTCCTGCTGCTCCGATTGGACAGATATGGAGGAAGTGATGTAATTAGGCCAGTGGCTTCAACAGCTGCTCCACCTTAATATGTCCGAGCCGATGATGTCATCAGCAAGTGTGGAGACGATCCATGAGGAACGCTGCATCCTGGTCCTGATCCAGGTGTCCGTCGTGTTTCCTGGCTGCTAACGGTCGCAGAGGGAAGCTAATGCGGTTAGCTAATCTGCTTAGCTAATGCGGTTAGCTGCAGAGAAACGTGATCCTTCAGGGCAGCAGCAGCTAACGGCTGCCGCCGAGGTTCTGATGGTTCTGGAGGCGAAACCAATTGGTGGTCATAGCAACACTTTCGCTCCCCTCTGATTGGTTGGGTCGCTGTGGAACCAGATTTTAGCTCCAACGGAAACGATCCCTGAAATCCAGACGGCTCTGATCTGGATCTCTATAAAACCCAGGAACAGAACCGTGTTCGGTCGGATGGTGGTTCTGGATCGTATGAGGAACCCGGCTGCAGCCACCATGACTCAGAAGGAACCAAACCCAGATGAGTCACTCAGTTTCCTCCTCCTGAATGAAACGTCCAACATGGCTCCTGCAGGAATAACATCGAGATTCCTGGTCGCAGGTGGCCGGAGCCTGGACCGGGTCAGGACTGACTTCCTGTTCCTGTTTTCCAGATGAACATCATCGCCGCAGGGTTCTATGATGGCCTCATGATTTACGCTCGCGCTCTGAATGAAACGATGGCAGCTTCAGGAGCCAGACCGCCGGGAGAAACATCACCGCCAAGATGTGGAACCGAACCTTTACTGGTGCGTAACCAGATTCCCGACTGATTCCTGATCAATTAATCTCTGATTCCTGCCTGATCTTCTTTCAGTGTCAGAGGTCAGGAAGGTCACTACTCTGTGGTGAAAGTAGGAAACTGCTGGGTCTGACCTCTATCCTCTGGATGCATCGATCCAGCCTAAACAGTCTGGTGTTCCTCAGGGCTCTGTTCTCGGCACCCCGGGATTCTATGGAAGTTGTTGTTTGGGAATCTTCAGATTGTTCTCAGATCCAAACAGCTAATTTAGGGTCTCAGAACAAACCGTCCAAGTTCTCTTGTTGGATAATCTAAGGAAGTCAAAGTTAAAACAAGAAGTCAAAGTTCCTGACATCTTATTTTATAACTGAAGGTGACAAAGTTACTGTGTAGGAAAATGGAACCATGTAATTGGAAAACTGGCCCTTTAATGGTTTCTGCCTGCAAAAACCAGCAGCACCAAGTCGTTGACCAAGCATGCATGAGGCGACCATGAAAAGGAAAAAACAATTTAACAGGAAGAAACCTGCAGCAGAACCAGAACCAGGCTCAGCACCAGCTGCCCTCTGGAGGTTTGAGAAGGTAGAGCAGAAGAATGTGGGATTATTTTCTATGTTCATTAAAGCAAAAACAAACAGCAGGAGAGAAAACACCATCAGGCGGGGCAACTGAGAAACAAAGTGAGAGCAGATAACTGAAGAACATCAGTTTGACCTCATGTAGCATTATGACATCACAGACTGCTCTGCAAGACCCCAGTCCAACCACAGCTTGCCAGATTCTCCAGGATGAGCTGCTCCTTAACAGGCTAACTATTTAGCTTGGGGCTAGCAACCTTCTGGGCTAGCTACCTTTAGAGCTAGCAACCTTCTGGGCTAGCTACCCTCGGAGCTAGCAACCTTCTGGGCTAGCTACCCTTAGAGCTAGCAACCTTCTGGGCTAGCTACCCTTAGAGCTAGCAACCTTCTGGGCTAGCTACCCTTAGAGCTAGCAACCTTCTGGGCTAGCTACCCTCGGAGCTAGCAACCTTCTGGGTTAGCTACTCTCGGAGCTAGCAACCTTTTGGGCTAGCTACCCTTAGAGCTAGCAACCTTCTGGGCTAGCTACCCTTAGAGCTAGCAACCTTCTGGGCTAGCTACCCTTAGAGCTAGCAACCTTCCGGGCTAGCTACCCTTAGAGCTAGCAACCTTCTGGGCTAGCTACCCTCGGAGCTAGCAACCTTCTGGGCTAGCTACCCTCGGAGCTAGCAACCTTCTGGGCTAGCTACCCTTAGAGCTAGCAACCTTCTGGGCTAGCTACCCTGGGGGTTTAGCTAACTATTGACATAGCACGGAACTTAATATTTACCTCGAACGATATAGCTAAAATAAGTTTCACACTAGATATTTGATTAGCAAGCTAAGTGTGTATTTTGAACCTTCATGTTTAGTAATGACTGAACATCATGGAGAAAATATGACTGAAAAACGAACCTCCATTTTCCCTCTTATGACGCGCAAAATGGCCAAAATGGAAGTTTTGACTGTGTAACTTTATCAACGGCAGTCCGAACCCGTCCAGATGACTCTGCGGGGTCCAGTCTTGGGTTCTGTCAGCGTGGTTCGGATCAACAGCTCCAGAACTCTGAGAAAACCTCGGCCCGGTTCTGCTGTTTGGATCACTGCAGCTTGTTCTCTGCTGCCCTCTGCAGGCTTTCAGGTGTGCTGCATCGGTCTGATCCCTGAGGATCCACCTGATGGTTCTGGACGGTTCTGGGCTTTGTGTACTGACCCACAGTTTCTCCCTGTAGGAAAGTCAGGTGTTCTGGTTCTGACTCGGCCCGGAATAATTGAGTGTTAGAAAAAATTCCCAGCTCCCTGGAAGCAGAGAACAAACGGGTCCAGAAGGTTCCGTTCAGCACCTGATGGTTCTGACCGTTTGACCTCTGCAGCAGGAGGGAGACCAGTTCAGCATGAACAGTGATCCTGGTACAGAACTGGACTGGACCGACCCAGGATGTCCTGGTAAAATAAAGGCTTCATTGTCATCTTGTTGTCATGGTGACCTGCAGTCCTGGTTCTGATGGACCCAGTAATCAGCTGTTATTAATCTGAGAGGACTCCTTTCTGAGCCGAGCTGCAGCAGAATTTACCAGAAACAATCTGGAGGTTCTTCCTTCAGAACCAGAACCTATTATCAGCTCTGTAAAGACATTGTTAATATTCTGATTCTTCCGGCCGGGTCCAGTTTATCTGCCCAGAGAGCTTTCTCGGTCCAGACCAGATGAATCGATGATCCAGGCATCAGTAATCGGCTCTGGATCTAAAGGATCTCGGGGTTTTGGCTTGTTGAGGTTTCTGGAAGTTCTGTGGTGCGTAGAAGCTGCCTGCTGCCTTTCCAGGTCTGGTTCTGGTTCTGGAGGCAAAGCAGAACCGAGCCACCGCAGTGGCCCGGTTGAGTCAGACCTGCCGGTTGCAGAACCTGACCTGCGGTTCTGTCCGTCCCCAGGTGTGACAGGTCCGGTCCAGTTGGACGTGAACGGGGACCGGGAGATGGACTACGCTCTGTGGGACTGGGACTCCAACCGCAGCGCCTACCGGGTACAGAACCAGAACCCTTCAGCACACCCCCACTCTTTCCAGCTCTGACCTGGTTCTGTTCCCCTGCAGGTGGTTCTGACCTACCGCAGCTCAGAGCAGAACCTCACCAAGGTACCCGGGTCGGCCCGGTTCTGGCTGGGCGGAACCAGGCCTATGGACGTTCCCTTTTGCGGCCTGAAGAACGACAACCCAAAGTGCCTCACAAGTCATGGCCGAACCTGGGCCAAAACCGTCTCTGAACCGGGCTGAACCAGATCTGAACCGGGTCCAAACGCAACCAGAACAGAACTCACTGACCCGGATGCCACCGGTCCAACGTCCGGCTCTGTCAGAACCAGAGGTTCTCTAAACCCAAGTTCTGACCCGGGACCTGGTTCTGGTCTGTTTGGGACGGTCTGGATCTGAACCTGAACCGGGAATGTGTTTCAACCCGCAGGAACCATCACCGTCCACCAGATGGCGTCCATCCTGGTCTGTTTTCTCATCACCATGACGACCGCAGTCGCCATCTTCATCTACAGGTCAGAGGTCACCTTCACTGATCAGAACCAGGACCAGAACCAGAACCAGATTGTTTCACCGTTCAAAACGAGCTCTGCTTAAACCAGTTTCAAACTGGTTCTGATGGCAGGTTTAGGGACATTGTCCAGGTTCTGGCTGATAACGGTCACAGAATTTATTTGGACCTGGATGGTTCTGGACAACCTGGGCTCTTTGGTTCTGGTCCAGGTTTAACTGCTTTCCAGGTTTTAGACCCTCCATGACCCAGTTTGAGTCCAGTTGGATCTCTTCTTGATTTGGACCGGTTCCATGTTCGGTTCTATTTTGATCTGGTTCAGGTTTGGTTCTCACTTAACTGATCCGACCCGGCAGAACCCTGGCTGTACCTGGGTTAGCTGATTCAAACTGGTTTCAACCAGGATCAACTCCAGAACACTCTGTGGTTCTGACCCGGTTCCGGTTCTGTAGGAGGCTCAGGTTGGAGCGGGAGCTGGTGGCTCAGCTTTGGCGAATCTCGTGGGACGATCTGCACATGACCAGCATGGAGAAGGTTCTGCAGAGCAGCAGCCGGGTCACCTTGTCATTGGTGAGCTTCGGTTGCGCCGCCAGTCAGCAGAACAGGAAGTTCCCCGTCGTTCAACTTCCTGTTAACGAGAAGCTCTTTGCTTCGCAGAGAGGTTCCAACTACGGATCCCTGATGACCGGAGACGGAAACCTGCAGGTGTTCGCCAAGACTGGCTACTACAAGGTGAGTCTGGCTAGGTGAGAGGAAGGTGGCCTTCATCATCCTCGCTGTTCCCTTAGCATTAGCTCAGTGTTCTCTCCCGTTCCCTCAGTGTTAGCTCAGCGTTCCCTTAGCATTAGCTCAGTGTTCTCTCCCCGTTCCCTCAGTGTTCCCTCAGTGTTAGCTCAGCGTTCCCTTAGCATTAGCTCAGTGTTCTCTCCCCGTTCCCTCAGTGTTCCCTCAGCGTTAGCTCAGCGTTCCCTTAGCATTAGCTCAGTGTTCTCTCCCCGTTCCCTCAGTGTTCTCTCCCCGTTCCCTCAGTGTTCCCTCAGTGTTAGCTCAGCGTTCCCCCCCATTCCCTCAGTGTTCCCTCAGTGTTAGCTCAGCGTTCCCTCGCTGTTCCCTCCCTGTTCCCTCAGTGTTGTCCCTTGCAGGGGAACATCGTGGCCATCAAATACTCCAATAGGAAGCGGATCGAGCTGAACAGGAAGGTTCTGTTTGAACTCAAACATGTGAGTCTGTCCAGGTCATCTGAAGAGGTTCTCTAACGGAGCATCAGGCGGTTCTGGTTCCGTTGGACCTCCAGAACCGAACTGACCCAGAAATGTTTCTGCTCAGATGAGAGACGTCCAGAACGAACACCTGACCCGGTTCATCGGCGCTTGCATTGACCCGCCGAACATCTGCATCGTCACCGAGTACTGTCCCCGAGGCAGCCTGCAGGTAAGCGCACTTGGCCGTCACCTGCCCACATGTCCCCACGTGTCCTCACATGTCCTCACTTGTCCTCAGGACATCCTGGAGAACGACAGTATCACCCTGGACTGGATGTTCAAGTATTCGCTCATCAACGACATTGTGAAGGTGAGCCTCTTCCTGTGCACCACCCGGTCTCCTGGTGGGACAGACGCTAAGTCCCCATCTTTGTCCTCAGGGAATGGTTTTCCTACACAACAGTGTCATCATCTCTCACGGTAAACTCAAATCGTCTAACTGCGTCGTGGACAAGCGCTTTGTCCTCAAGATCACCGATTATGGCCTCACCAGCTTCCGATCCGACCCGGACTGCGGCAGCGACGCTCACGCCTACTACGCCCGTGAGTCCTCCCTCTTCTCCATCGCTCCCGATGGCTATAGAAAGGGCACAGGGCAAACGCCGTCAAAATAAAAGACCGAGTCGACCTTTCTCTGGGTTTTGTGCAGAGAAGGTGTGGGTGGCTCCAGAGCTGCTCCGGATGGAATCGCCACCTCCTCAGGGGACGCAGAAAGGAGACGTGTACAGCTTTGGGATCATCCTGCAGGAGGTGGCGTTGCGCCGAGGAGCCTTCTACCTGGAGGGGGCGCTGCTGAGTCCCAAAGGTAAGCCACAGCGGGTCCGCAGAGTTCCGCTTCATTCCGGACCCAACCGCCTCTGAGCATTCCGGTGTCTCAGCAGAGATCGTGGACCGGGTGATTTTGGGCGAGTGGCCCTGCCTGCGGCCCACCATCGACCTGGAGGACCACCGAGAGAGTCCGAGTCCCAACGAGTCCAAACCCGAGCTGGGCCAGCTGATGCAACGCTGCTGGGCCGAGGAGCCGACCGAGAGACCCGACTTCAACCACATCCGCCTGCTGCTGCGCAAGCACGGCACGTAAGGGCCGTGACACGGACCGGGTCATAGGGGTGGAGTCTCTTTGTTTGCCGGCAGTGAACTCTGACGCCAGAGAGCCGAGCTGCTTTGGATCAGAACCTTCTGATACCTTCTCACTGGAACCCTGTTTACATCAATAACAGTAGAAATAAACTGCTGCCCTCTACTGGTGGTTCAACGTTCTTCCAAAGTTGTCTGATAAACAGTTTATGAAAGTGGTCGGACAGAGCAAAGTTACAGGTAAACGTTTGGTAAACTCTGGCATTTTCTGTTTCCAGAGAGTCCAGGAACAACATCCTGGACAACCTGCTGTCCCGCATGGAGCAATACGCCAACAACCTGGAGGAGCTGGTGGAGGAGCGCACCCAGGCCTACCATGAGGAGAAACGCAAGGCCGAGGCCCTGCTCTACCAGATACTGCCACAGTGAGTTCTATAGTACTACTACTACTGGAGTACTACCAGAGTCAGTACTGACCGGTTGTTGTTGTCTGCAGCTCGGTGGCAGAGCAGCTTAAGCGTGGAGAAACGGTTCAAGCTGAAGCCTTCGACTCAGTCACAATCTACTTCAGTGACATTGTTGGTTTCACCGCCCTGTCTGCAGAAAGCTCCCCGATGGAGGTCCACAGCACCTGGATGTTATGCTACCTGAGAGCAAAGGCTGCAAACTCTGAGGAACTGTTAGCCTAGCTTACAATAGCTAAGGAAAATGATGGAAGCAGAGGAAACATTTAGCCTAGCCAAACATAAACACGGTTAGAAAAGGAAAACTATTAGACTAGCAGGGAAGCTGTTAGCTTAGCTTAAAAACAAGAAGTACAGGGAAGCTGTTAGCTTAGCTTAAATGCAGGAAGCAGATAGAAGCTGTTAGCTTAGCTTAAACGCAGGAAGTACAGGGTTAGGGTTAGCTTAGCTTAAACGCAGTTAGTAGAGGGAAGCTGTTAGTTTAGCTTAAAGACAGGACGCAGATAGAAGCTGTTAGCTTAGCTTAAACGCAGGAAGCAGAGGGAAGCTGTTAGCTTAAACGCAGGAAGCAGAGGGAAGCTGTTAGCTTAAACGCAGGAAGCAGAGGGAAGCTGTTAGCTTAAACGCAGGAAGCAGAGGGAAGCTGTTAGCTTAAACGCAGGAAGCACAGGGAAGCCTTGCAGCTGTAAACAGCGCCCCCTGTCTGTGGTTGAAGCAGCTGAATTGTGTCTCCTGTGTTTCTTCCATGTTTAGTCTGAATCTAAACCCTGAA